GCAGCCGGGTGAGCACCACGTCCCCCCGGGCCGGACCGCGCCGCACCTGGCGGGGGGCGCCGCGCGGCGGGGTGGGCTGGGAGCAGGGAGCCACCCCCTTCCCTCGGGGGGACAGGCAGGTTTGCGGCGCGGCCTCGCACGGGTCCCGCCAGGCAAGCCGTGGACATCCCGGAGCAGACGTTGCCGCGTCCGGCCCCTGCCCGCGGGCGCTGGGCCCTCCGAGCTGGACGCGGCGCGGCGGCTTCTCGCTGGTGCGGAGGGGGTGAGACGGCTCCGTCCTCCGCGCCCGGGCACCAGGGTGTCCCCCGCTCCCTTCCCTGCTGACCCCCCACCAGGAGCTTGTAGACAGCCACAAGACTAATATAGCTAGGTTATCCAGACTAATGTAGCTACACTGATGTATTTATATTGTAAATAGCAATCGTTGATTTGGAAGGACTTCTAGGTGACTTTGCTGGACCTTTTGAAGGCCTCTTGGTCTTCTGTGGAGTCCTGGCTGTGGGTTTTTCTAGAGTCTCGTCGGCTTCCTTTAAAGAAAGCATGCAAGGAGGTTTGGGCAGACGTTCTCCAGGGAGACGCAGCGAATGTGCTCGCTGACGCCGCATTTGATCGAGCGTCCTGAAGTCAAAACTGAGGTCCAAGTTGAAAACAGGTGTCGGTATATAAATGTCCTAAGTGCAAAATGTTGTAACTTGAAATGTTGTAAGTCGAAACCTTGTAAGTTGAGGACTGCTGGTATTTCTTCTGTCTGTACAGCAGTTACTTGCAATAAAATATCGCTTGTAAGAAGTAAATAAATCAAAGCTCGGTCAAGGCATCTCAGATGTCGCAAGCGAGCTCGAATTCAATACTGGCATCACTGTGGACATCATCTGTTCTTTTAAAGTACAAAAAAAAAAAAGTGACCACCAGTATTGCCTTCACAATCATGTTGGGATAAGCCCAGTCAGTCCATCATCATCCTGTACAGCACACTGCTTTTTTGTTGTGTAAAGGAAGGACAGCCTTCAACCTTTTGGGATTTGAGGCACCCTCAGAAAACACCTGCCCTGGATTTTCGCTTGTTTTTTAACTATGGAAAAGTAGCAGAACAGTTCTTCTGTTGCAGAGAGCTAAGTGAGCTGTGGCCCACAACAGATCTGATTGTTTTTAACGCTCTGGAGTCCCGTGGGAAATCGCTGGGTTTATCCTGCAGGTTGTGTTTGTGCTCCTAGCAGTAGTGATGTTGCAGGGTGCCCTGTGACACCCTTGAAGGGATCTCAGGGTACCCCAGAGTTTCATGGCACCCTGTTTGGAAATTGCTAGAAGCCATGAAATCTGGACTGTGTTTCCAGTCACATGTAATCACCCCTGTGCATGAGTGCCTTTATGTGTGAGTGGGGTCAATGATCCTGATCTGTCCCTTAGATGTGGTATGAAGTTAGCTGTTGGTGTTAGCGTTGAAGCCTTTCTCTTGGTGCCGCTGCAATCAGAAATTGGTACCCCATTATATGTCTCTACCCATAACAAGAAGATGGTTCTTGAACAAAAGGACTTACAAACTCAGGGAGCAGAAGCCCCTAGATGGAAAGTACGAAACCTGGTTTTAAAGAGAGAGGTAGTCAGTTGTGTTAGTGTGAAGTTGGGTGAAGAAGTGTTTTAAAAGGATGAGGAAACTTTATATAAAGGCAAAATGGAGTAAGAAGCAGCTGTCCTTTTATTTCTCCAAAATGATTCGGCTCACTCAGGACATGATGGCTTCAGAGTCTTAGATTGCTGCTTAGACATGCCAATATGCTGGTGTTACTCATAGGCCAGTCTGCAGAGGTGCTGCCGTGGTCCTGTTGCCATTGGCTCAGCTCAGGCTGCACGCATATGTAGGATCTCTGAGGACAATTTCGTTTCACCGTAGTTGAGAGGCAGTGATGGCAACAAAACCACCATCAAAAATGTCATCTGTAAATATAGCGCCGATCGTTGTATCTAACAGTGCATCAGGACTGTGGTTAGGGAGCAGTCTAATTTTTTTGCAGCTTTCTCGGGGCTTGTTGCTTATCAGATCAGTTTATTTTGCTGAGTCTGTGTCCTGATAATGAGGCTTGTGGTTCAAAACCAAAGCTATTAATGCTCAGAGTGAAGCTTGTGCATTGGATGTATCAGGCCAGAGATGAAGGTAAAGATATCAGATAACAAGACTTGAATTGGGCCTTTCTACTCAGGGATTTTTTTTTATCACTTAAGCTTTGTAATTAAAAAGCATCAATTAAATTCTGTTGTGTCAGCAAAAATGTATGGTAACTGGTTAATCTAGTGAGAGACCTCGTTCATTTTCTCCTTTTCTGCTGGGAAAGCGGCTCGATTCTGTGCTCTTGCTTTGCTGATAATGGACAAGTACTTGGATACCTTAGTGAGCGATGCAAAAAATGCTCATAAGGATTTCTGTGTTGTCTATAAGGGGATAAGTTAGTTTCAAGCAGAACTAACAGAAGTTAGTTTCTGTTTGAAACTAATGTCATATAATGAGTTCTGTGGAGAAGGAAGTCTCAGCAACTTTTCCTGGACGGCACAAAACTCACTGCCATGGTTGTCACCACTTTGCAGTCTCAGCAAAGTCTGGATCAACCATGGAGTCTGGACTTCCTTTGCTCAGCTGGCAGATGTGTGTCTTTCTGAGCATAGGTGAGAGTTACAGGACTGTGTATGGGAAGCTTTCAGCACTATTGCCTGAGCTGTTCCTGCTCTGTGAACAGATGGAGTTCTGGTCTCCCCAGCTTTCCGTTGTGTGGTCTTCAGGAGCACTGAATTCCCATGAGAAACCAGGCAAAGCTGAGTCTAAAACCCCACCATCCTAGCCCTGGTCTCTGATCCACTGTCAAACACCCAGCGACAGAGGGAGGATTAATTAACACAACTTCTTTTTTTGGCAGATTAAAATACCTAGAATGGCAGGAGAACAGAAGCCGTCATGCAATCTCCTTGAGCAGTTTATTTTACTAGCCAAAGGTACCAGTGGCTCAGCCCTGACTACTCTGATAAGTCAAGTGCTAGAGGCCCCTGGTGTGTACGTCTTTGGAGAGCTGCTGGAGCTACCAAATGTACAAGAGGTAAGAGATGACTTGGCTGGAATTGTTCTTTCCACACCTTGGTTTAAAGGATCTCCTGAGAGTTTCTTCTCCTCCCAGGGAAAGTCTGATATAGCTTGGCCCAGTCCCAGTACCTCCTTCATGCTGGAGTCCCATGTGTTTCTCCATCCTCCTGAGGGCCTAGCGTGCAAAAGATGACATCCATTTTGTCTTTGTGTTTGGTTTTGATTTAAGTAACAGGGCTCCAGATGCACTAATATGATGGCTAATACAGTAAAATCCCAGCAGCCCTAAAAAATGGTTTCTAAACAGGAATTTGCCCAGTCACTGGGAAACAAAATCTCCTTTTGTTGTCCTGGAAAGCATCTGCCATTGTGTCCGAGAACTCTAGCAAACAGATGTCTTTTGTAGCAGGCTGGAATGAATAATCACCAAAATCAAACGGTTTCTGACCAATATGCAGAGCAAATTCTGGAGACTCGGAGCTCTTGCAGAGAAGGGGCTGCCTGCAGCCCCCTCTTTTAAAATGAGGAGGATTTTGCTAGAACACTTCTGCAGCTGGGATAGTGTGGTGCACAGGAAGTTCAGTCTCCCATGTGGGCTTGTGTGTGTGATCATTCTTATAATTGTTGCTCCAAGTCAGGCAACTTGCAGCAACAATTATAAGTCCAGTTTAAGGTTAGTTCACCAGTGTAATGGTCTTGAGAAAAGGGAATGTATCTCTGCAATGTCACCATCAAATTTATATAGAGGGCAGAGTGTTATGTGGTCCATAGTTTAATCAGGGTTGCCACAGTCACCTTCTGCAGAACTCCTAATACTCCATTTGTACATCATGTGACTGCAGCGGCTGGGCCCGGTTCAGATCCAATTTAGAGCCTTTTATGCTTTTCACAGAAAGTCAAAACCAGGAGGCTTTATTGTTGGGTGGAAATTAGATGTTTATTCCAAATGGTGGTTTTGTTCCACACTTTTCTCCAAGCTGCTACACTATTGTGTCCTACAAGGGCTTGTATTAGTGTCTAAAAAGGTTTCCAGGAGACCAAGCAGTGACCTGGGAGGTTCTTTAAATCTCTGTGGATGGGGAGGTCTGGGTTGTCATTCATGTGGATGATCTCTCTGTCTGTAGCTTCCTTGTGGTGAATGTCTAGAGGAGCGCTGTTGGCCACCACCGGTAACCATTGAGTTGGTGTAGATTTCAGGGTTCTGGTGATAAATTCTGCAATGCATGCTAACTGGACATCCAGTTAAATTCTGCAATGTATGTGTGATCACACACAATGTGTATGTGACCAGACGTGCCTCAACTGCTCTTAGCATTGAGCTGGATGTTTGCTGTTCCCCACCTTTTTCATATCAACCCCTGGAAAATACCAACCCAGTTTGGTGCTGCAGCTGTTACCACAGTGCAGTGCTTGATTGTTTGAGAAGATTCTGTGTCTACCCATATACTACATGCATCTTTCTCCCAAAAACAGCCCTCCAGAATTGTGGTGTGCAGCTTTAGCAGGGAAGCTGGTTTTCTTTACTTAGAAAGGTTGCATGGTAGGTGATAAAATACAGAGGCACACATTTAACCCACTTCCCTTTGGGGTTGTTTGAGACTCTGCAGGTAAGCTGTCTGAGCTTCCAAGTTGCCAGCAAGGATGCTTAGCTAGCCAGCACTGTAATCTCCTCATCTGTCATGTGATAAAAACAGCAGGCCCTATGGGATTAAAGCTAAATTAAAGGGGATGCTTTCTTAAGAGATTGCATAAAGCAGCTGGCTGTAAACTCAAATTCTAGTTCAGGATGATATAGCCATTTCTATGACTAAAATACTGAAACGTAGTACTAATTACAGGTCTTTTACAAGAAAAAAGGGTGGGGGGTGGATCCCACTGTTTGACAGCTGAAAATAATCCTTCTTTAACGTAAAAAATCCCATATTGTTTGTGAAATAAAACACATCGTAGAGAAACTGCATGCCAATATCACGCTGGCCATTATTGCCTGAGATAAGATCTCTCTTGTTTTCTTCCTGTTTAGCTTGCTGAAGGACCTAATGCTGCTTATTTCCAGTTGCTGAATCTTTTTGCCTATGGAACATACCCAGATTACGTAGGTAAGAGATTGCTGTGATCATGTGGTGTTTGCTAATTGCAAGGATTACATTGGCTGAGTTGAGGGTAAGATGTGTTTCAGAACCAGCCTGTGCAGCTCTTTGCTTTCCTAAGCAGTTTACTAGTACAAGTGTTTGTCCTCTTTGTAAATGTGACAAAATTAAAAAAAAACAAAACCCAAAAAACTCTAAAAGGAAAACTTGGACCATAGGAGTCTTTCTGGATACAGCTCTCTGGATAAGATTCTTTTTCCAGAAAATGGAAGAAAAGCAATGGCTAAACTGTTGTGTCCCATTGTTCAGGATTAGAATGGGCACTTTACTAAGATGGCTTGGACCAAGTCACTGTGACATGAAGTGACTTGAAGTGGTATTCATTGTTATCTCCTCATATTCAAAAGACCCTTATTCTGCAGAGAGCAGTCTCCGGCAGCCGTTTTGAAATTAGACTGCCGCCCATTAGATGAGTTACAATATGAAAACTTCTCCATATCTAAACCTGTCTTTCTTTTCAGGGGACTATAACCTGTTCTTTAAAATCCATTCCTGACTAAATCTTGGTAAACAAGGCTTCTCTAAGTGTTGCATTTTCTGCTTCACTCTTCAGGTGTGACCCTCAAAAATGCACATGCAATTGCGTGCTGAGTCCGTTTGCACAAATACAGCATTTACGCTCCTTGGCTGCTGTGATAATTATGCATACAAATTAGACCCACAATTATATGTGCATTTCACACACAATTGCACATGCCTGCCTCTCAAAATCTATCCCTAATGATATTTTGAATTAAAAGATCTATCTACAAAAGGGGTTTTCAGGAATGTAATTATCAATGGCATGCTTTGGATTGAAATGCTGTTTTACACTTGTATGTCTTTAAATCTTTAAGTGTTGATATTTGACAGAAACCAAGCCTATACTCGGCTCCAGGAATATTTGGAATATTGAGAAGCTAGCTACAAAAGGCAGAGTCTCAGAAAGGAACAACTTTTTTTTCAATCAGTCTCAAAAACTGAGTGCCACTATTACCCTGCCTAGGGACTGTTGGCTGTACTCAAGAACAGTTTCATTTTGCTTCTGGGGTTTGGGAATTTCATGTGCTAAAGAAAGTAAAAATGTATCATCCAGGACTGTGCCTAGGGAGCAACCACTTGCATAGGACTTCAGAGCCAGCCCATCTGAATGGTGATACATTTTGGTGTGAAGGTGCATATCAGGCTTGCTGCGCACTTTGTGTTCATATACTTTCTGGTTCAGGTTGTGAGTAGCAGCCTGGATGCAGAATATGAGAGCGCTCCACAAATCATTCTCTTGGATTTTATATTGACACCCGTTCCCTTTATTATATGAGCACTATGAATTGAAAGTGTGGAGCGGGGAAGATAAAGGGGGGTGAAAAATTTGGTAGATGTGGAGCAGCACAAGCTTCATATGTCTTTAGACTACAAACAAAGATTCATGACCAATTGGAGAACCTGCCTGCTGTGTACAGTTGTTAGATCCCAGGGCACGACCTTGCAAGAGCAGGGAGATCTTTGACTTTAATCTGTTCTCCCCTTATGAAGAGGGCTGTCCCCTGGCTGCCACCCTTCACAGTATAGCACTGGCAAAATATAGAGCTTGGGTCATGTTCTAAATGTTTGGGCTGACCCTTGCTATCAAAACAGACGTGCACAGGAAAGAGTAATCTTGCTGCTGGCCAAAAACATAAATGTATGTGGTAGGGACAGAGGAAGCCAAAATGGAAAGTGTTGAATGAGGTGGGATGGCTAAGATAACACTTACGTTCCTGAAATGCTGACTTACATTAACAAGGAGATTCCAAAGAGCCCCTTTGTTTTGGAAATGGCCAGTCTCTTCCAGCAGTGACAGGAAGGCCATATAAGCATCTCCCTGAATAATTTCTTGATGGTTTTCAGAAAAATAATTACCAAATTTTATTTTGCAGTTGGAACCACAAGAGTGCAAGTTTGTATTTACATCAGTTCATTAGACGCACAGAGGTGGTTTATGTGCTGGAAATAAAATATTGCCGGTCTATTTTGGCAGGGCCTCATTTGCGTACGTGCAATTTACAGTCTAATTCCACACTCCGAGGTGCTGAAGAACAGATAACAATGAAACTGCCAGCTTCCTTTTGAGTTCCCTCTGCCTCTCCTTGGGTGCGGCCAATCTGTTATTGATGGCAGATTTTTCTTCTCACGAGCACACGCAGTAGCCAGAGAAGTTCACTGTTTCAGACTCACTTGGTCCAACTGGTTTGAGGTTTTTGTAACCTGAAGAATTGTTTACTTCTAGAAGGAAAACCCGTAACTTCAGCACTCTTTTTTTTACATTAACAGCGAACAAAGATAACTTGCCTGAGCTAACAGGGGCCCAGAAGAACAAGCTGAAGCACTTGACTATTGTAAGCTTGGCTGCCAGGATGAAGGTAGAGTACAGGCATCTTAGCTAGGGAATACCAAGCCTTTTTTTAAGTGGTGTACTTGGGTTTGTGTTTGGCTGTATGCGCGCACTGGGGAACATGTAACAAGGAAACTACTTGGCAGTGTACATGGCTCCTATGTAGCTTTTGGGGAGTCAGTAACTTAATGGACTTCCAGGAGTGAGATGCTGGGGTTTCTTAACAGCCTGGTAAAGAGAATGTTTTCAGGAGGGGCACAGAGGCCAGCAAGTCCTAGGCTCTGGTAATTATTATGTCTGTTCTGGGGAGGCTGCTTCCATTTTTCCACCATACTGCAACCCACTGTTGCTCCAGAATTCAATGAATAAATGCAACAAGCATGTCTTGTCCATGACATAGTCTGATTTCAACTGCTGCCTTTGCCCCTCTCGTTCTCTATTATTTGTGTAGGGTGGAGTATGGGATACAGTTGATGGTTAATTGCAAGCTCTCTTTTAACCCTACTTCCAGTCTAGGTTTAATTCCCCTTCTGGGTAGGTGAATGATAGCTTCTTTTTGGACTCCTTTTGTCTAGTGCATTCCTTACTCAGTGTTGCTGAAAGACCTGGACATGAGGAATTTGAGGGAGCTGGAAGACCTGATCATTGAAGCTGTCTATACAGACATCATCCAGGGGAAGCTGGATCAGCGCAACCAGGTACTGGAGGTGGATTTCTGCATTGGCAGAGACATTCAGAAGAAGGACATCAGTAACATTATGAAAACACTCCAAGAATGGTGAGCTGGCACACTGCTCAGCCGTCTCTGCCTTGCTTTGTGTATGCGTCTCAAAGGGAAAAAGCTCATTCTGACTTTTTCTGATTCAAGCATGAGCTGGGCTTCAATATTCTATTCTTTAGCATTTGTACTGGGAGCAGCTGTCTGGGAAAGGGGCTGTTTCTGCTCCCCGGAAAATCCTACCAAACTGTATCCCAGAGTCCCAGTCCTTTAAACTTAAGGAGGTTGTGAATGCAAAGTGCTTGAATCACCTTTGTAGGCCTCCCTTCCTTGTTGCGGATGGTCTCTGCCTTATTCTGATTTGCTGGAAAACTGGCCCCACCAATCTTGCTTATGGGATTTGCTCCCACAGATTCCCTGTGGAGTGGCAATACTTGCCTAGTTTGTTTGTTGATGGGGGCCTTAGGCATACAACTAACATTAATTTGCTATGAAAGCATGATTTCATGGGCATTAGGGCTGGAAGGGACCTCATGAGATCATTGGGTCCAGCCCCCTGCCTAAGGGGCAGGAAGTCAGTTGGGGTCAGATCACCCCAGCAAGATAAACATTGAAGCGTTTCTAATCCAGAGTTGCTGAGTCTTTTAGTCTTTCCCTTTCCCTCCTTGCCTCTGCCTCCCTGACTCTGCTGTGAGAGGATCCTTCTGCATTGTCTGGTGCATAACTATGAATCTATTTCAAATGCCCTTTCTGTTCTTCCCCACTGTGAATAGCAGTTGAAGAGTGTTCATGTTGTACCATTTGGTAACTTCTTAGAGGGTCTCTGTCAGCACGACCTTAATTTTTGTTAATGTTCTAAGTTTGTTAAAGTTTATTGCATCTCTTTGTACATAATAAACCCTGACCTTTTAAAAAGGTTTTAAAGACTTTTATTGCTCTGTTGGGGAGGTCCGATGAGAGCAGTTCCAGCAAGCATTTGCAGACCCATCTTCTCTGTTCCTACAGCTGCCTTCTGCCTCTCTGGCTTCAGTTTTGGCTTTGTCTCTATCAATGCAGAGCCCAAGGAAGTGTTCCCATGGGCATCTCCTAGAGCCACCAACCAAGCAATGGAGCAGAGTAGATACAAAGAGCTACCAAAACCACAAAGTAACCAGTGGAGCAAAGTGCTGGCTTTTCCCTCGTCTCAGCTGCTCACGTGTTTATGTCCTCCAGTGCTTTCAGGCAAATGTTACTCTTCATGTTGATGATGTCTCATGCATTGTGCACCATTGACCAATCCTTGTGTATTCAATTTTCAGGTGTGATGGGTGTGAGGCTGTTCTCTTAGGAATTGAACAGCAGGTGCTTAGAGCGAACCAGTACAAAGAAAACCACCACCGAACACAGCAGCAAGTGGAGACAGAGGTAGGTACAGTGTCATCCTGCCTTGGCCTGGTGTTCGTAGGTAGTGGTTTGGGGAAAAGTTGCTGCCAGTTAAAGTGAGGAGCTACAGATCTGGCGAAAGTGTGAATGTAGGCTGGTGCTTCATAACCTTACATGCCCAGCCATGTCATCATGCTTTGCTCCTTACCGTGCAGAACTCCCAGCTATCAGGTCCAGGTTTTCTGTTGAGTGGAAACCAGCAATCCTGACAAACACATTATTTTGATAGAGTAGTCCTCTAGAAAGATCCCTTGTGTCCAGTACCAAACTTCACTGAAAGCCTGAGCCAGACTTGACTGACTAGCCTCTGACAGGGTTTCTGAGCCTTCCTTAATAAATGAGCCAGGCAGGAAACACTTTAGGAATTCCCTTGGTTGGTTAGTTAGGAAACCCCACTTTTTTAGCACACAACAGCAATGGAAGTGCAATGCCTATGAAATGATGGGTTTTCCCTGAATAACAAATCAATGAATGAACAGACTGAACCTAGTGAACTCCACAGATTTTAAACATAAGAATGCTGTTAAAGATTTCTCTGCATCAGGCTTCTGAATTTATCAGGGGTATGATGTAGGATACAGGCGGACAGGACTGAATCCTAGAGGGTCACAACCTGAGGGATCAAGAACAGACAAGGTCAGGGAAGCAAGGGTCCCAATTAGAGCCAGGAGATCAGGAGCAGGTGGGTCAGAATGTCTGTAAGAGGCTGGGATCAGGGTGATCACCAAGCTAAGCCATGAACCAGGAGTCTGGTATCTGAAGACAAAGGCCTGGACTGGATTCTGGAGCACAGGAAGCAAGGTGCTGGCAAGGCTGTCTGGAACAAGGAGTCGACAGACAAGAATCAGAAAGGAATGGGCAGAAACCAGAAGCAAGGATGAAGTCAGGAAGCAGGACCCAGGGAACAAGAAACTAGGAACAAATAGGCAGGATCTAGGGATTGGGAAACTAGGAATCAAGAGGTAGGAAGCTAAGAGCATAGAATCAGCAGCCCAGGGACTAGACAGGAAGGCTCTGTCCTGTTGAGTAGCTACCTGGACACTGGCACTGAGAGAGCTGCTTTGAAGAGGCAACTGCCCATGCAGGCAACTGGGGGTAGTTAGACTCCTGGCAGCCAGGCCCTCTCGGGGAATCAGGGCTGCTGGGGGCTCTTCAGTCTGCCTGCTACCGCCCTGGCTCCTGACAGAATCCTACCTTGGGATGGAAAGGACCTTTGAAGTCTGTCCTTAAAGACCCTTCTATAGAAGTTGCAGTTATAAAATGTGCTCTTAGTAGCTTCCCTCAGCGATGGAGACTTGTCCACATTAACCCTGCAGATAGATGGCTGCCCGTGACCCCCATGGATAGATGCGTGGTCACATTTTCACGAGTGAGCAATGACTTTTGGCACCTGATTTAAAGGCTTTACCTGGGGCTGATATTTGCTTGGTGAGCGTTCAATGGGACCTGAAAGCCTAGGTCCTCCCAAGTGTGGAGATGATAGAACCTCTGCCCTGTCTCTGAGGAGGAGAAAAGCTGGTTTCTCCCGAACAGCTGTAATTTTGCAGCCAGTCGGCAGAGGGTAGCAGAAGCCCATGAGTGCAGCCTGAGGGAGTCATGGTTGCTTGAGAGAACAGAGCTTGGCTAATTCAGCTGTAAAAGTGAGAATGGTCCTCCTGAGACTCCAGCTCAAGATTTATTTCTTGCAGCCTGTTGCAACCTTGTAGGGTCCCATTCACTTTCCAAAGCAGTTTCCGTTCAGTGATGGGGTTGGGTCCCAGAACGCGTTTGGTTTGGATAGGACTTATCCTGCCTAAAGCTAGGGCTGCGATAGGTGACCTCTGGAGGTCCCTTCCACCCCCACTTCTCTCTAAGGCATTTTGGCACTGACCTGTGCAGTCCTGACCCCTGGTTTTCCCTCGAGCTGCTCTTTATCAAATTGCTCCTCATAGTTTCCGTGGCAGTGCCCCCAGGCCCCATATTTGCAGATGGAGTGCAGTGCTGCTTTCGCTGCTTATTTCCCATCCAGCCCTAGATTGGCAGGCTGCTCCAACTGCTGATTTCCTTTGCTACCAGTTTTGAGAGCTGGGTTTACCCCCTCTATTGCAGATTCCCCCTCTTCCTCTACAGTCACCTCAGGCTTGCCAGGTGATGTGACAATTGCCTTGTACAGCCAGATAGGTTACTGGGCTAGATCCACCATTGATGTGACACAGCATGGCACTGCTTCTGTTCTTAACAGGTGCCTATCTCCAGCAGTAGCTGAAACGGATGCTAAAGAGGGACAGCCTTGAACTCGATATGACTAGAATGATCTATCCGCTATTCAGCATCCACCATTATCGGTTCAGAGACACCAGAGAAAACATCTCCAACTGTTCTGTTCAGTAGCTATCACCCATGAATTTATCCACTCGCTTTGTTTATCCACCTGTTGGTGCTCATTAGGTTACTCCTGGTGTCTAGTCTGAGGGACCGCCACCCTCAGTTGCCTCCAAACCAAGTCCACCATGGGGCATTGGCAGTTACGGTTCCAGGCAGGACATCTGCCCCTCAGTCATGCTGTCGGATAAAACTCAAGAGCAATTAGTGTGTTCACACCTGAGCTTTGTATCTGATGAGCTCCTCTTGGGCCTCTGCGGGCGTTTCCAGTCTCTGCTCACAGAAGGGGCTTCCCCTCTTGCAGACGGTGGAAAAGGCAAGTGCTGATTCTGTCTCTTCTCGCCCAGGTCACAAACATAAAGAAAACGTTAAAAGCCACAGCCTCGTCATCGGCTCAGGAGATGGAACAGCAGCTGGTGGAGCGCGAGTGTCCCCCGCATGCGGAACAAAGGCAGCCCACAAAGAAGATGTCCAAAGTCAAAGGGCTGGTCTCCAGCCGTCACTAGAACGCACCATGGAGGTGTCTTTTGGCCCAAAGGAGCAAAAAATGGCCCCGCGTCTCCTGTTCAGTGGGTTCTGGGCCAGTCCTCCCCAGGCTGGCTAATAAAAGCCCTGTTTGAATCCAGTCCCAAACTGGCAGTGCCTGACAAAGCTACACTGTGCAAACTCCATTCGCGTCCAGTCTGTTACTTGTTTTAGGCCTTTTGAGAGGGACTTTTGGACAGAGGTGATTAACAGAAAGGAGCAAAAAAACCTGATCAAATAAAAAAAACAAACCCTGTGATGCAAAATAAAATGGCATCTGTGGAAAGTTTTCTCCCTCTCAGCCTCTTCAGTCTTCAGAGGAGGTTGCCATGGTAATTCAGACCTGAAGCTAAGATAACCTCAGCTGGGGCAAACGTGAATACCAGGTAACAGACTTGGATGCAGAAGCTGGGCTGAGAGAGAGGACACTATCCACGCAGATTACTGCCTCCTCCCACTGCAAAGGGAGTCCAAGAACGTGACTATGTCAGGAACTGCTTTCCATTGATATCTCCAGCCCCTCCCTCCCCCCTGCCCTCTCAAACCAGGGTGACTTCACACTACCTCGCTCTGTGATGGTGAGACCCAGTGCTGGGCTATGTTTACTTAACCTCCCATTTACTGCCCTTACCAAGCCTGTTAAGCTGCCGTTGGTTTAAAAGCACTAGGCCGCAACGTTGGAGCACCCATCCAGCAGGAGGGAGCGAGCTACTCTCACTTGAGCCTTCTGTGTTCCCATGATTCGGGACCTCTTGGAAATCATGTTCTCTCTCAGTGTCTGCTGCATCCTCCCAGGGCTGCTGGTTATCAGTTCCCCTGCTGAGATATTTCAAGTGCAAGGTGCTCGATCTTCCTTGGAGCTGACGGTTTGTTCCAACAGTGACCTGTGTAGAAGAGAACCCTGGCTTGGTGACAGGCTGGTGACCCAGGACCCGCTGACAGGGGTGGCGATGGCGCCCTTTTGCTGCCGTGATGGATTTTACCAGCCTTTCTGAATTTGAACACTTTCAGGTTGTATTTTACTTTTTTTTTTTTTCTTTTTGTACATTGTTGTGACTCTAAAGCATTTCCGCCTTCGTTCTGTGTTTGATATTTGTTACAGACTAACTGCAGGTGACTTGCACCTAGTTTGGCGAGGGGCGTGGGGATTTTGTTTTTTAAGGGGCGGGTGGGGTCAACATGGAAACTGCCGTTCACGTGAACAAGCACATTTTAGAAAAAATTAAAAATGCTGGTTTCATGCAAGGCTCCAGACTCTTGGCTTTGGTAGCAGCTGGGGGTTCTCGGGCGCACGCTGGTTAGACTCTTGGGGCAGGTCCATGGCGCTCATGATCTGGGCCTTCTCTGTTCCTGACTTCGCAACACGCCTGAGAGACAGTTTATGCCTATTTTACAAGCCGGGGACTGAGGCAGGAAGAGAGAAATGCCTTGCCCAGGGAGAGGCAGGAGCTGAGTCCTGATCTGAGTGTGAGCAGGTAGATGGGTAGGCTCCCTCCTGCCTCCTCAGATCAGTTCCTTTGCTTGAGTCATTGTCAGAGGGTGACATCTACTTGGCCAGCCCTGCTTGCTCCACTTTGCTGCTGTGCTCATGGAGAAGCTTCCAAATGCCAGCTCCAGGAGCAGAGCCTGACATCTGCCATGGAGCTGAACAGACCACGCAGTACAAAGAGCATCCCTTGACTGGCCTGGCTTTCCAAGGGCCAGTGCCAGGCTGTACTTCTTCCTCCAGGAGCTGCAGCCAACTACTGTGTAGGTGTCTCATGCACCATGAGCACCCTCCTCTGGGTGCTGACTTGAACCCTTAGCAAGCTGCACACTCTTTCTTTGCCCTAGAGGTGTACTAAGCTTGGGCCCTCTGCTGAAGGTCAGTGACTCTCCTCCTTTTGCTGGGCACACGAAGAGCTGGCTTATAGCAGGCAGGTGGGCTCATCTCAACCATAACCTGATGGCGAGGAATTATCACCCCACTGCCAGTTGCTTCTTGTCTTCTCCACTCCCCCCTCAGGAAGCCCAGCCAAGCAGAAGCTGTGTTGGTGAAAGGTGCTATGAGCCAGCCTGGAGAAGCAGCATCTTCTCACAGCTGAAGAACATCTCTTCCCCAGGCAGCAGCTCTGCTGGCTTCTCCATGGGGCCTGCCCTCTGCAGGCTCCCTCCTTGGCCTCTGGGACCACGTCTAACAGACTTTGTGCTGTGAAGCCCGAAATTGAGCCACATTAGAGTGTCCAACATGTCGGTCAGTTCCTGCTGCCTCTTCAGGACCGGGAGCCCTTGAGGCTGAAGTAACTTGTCTTTCCTTCCAGTGCTCCAGGGAGCAGTGTCAGTCCATCACAGCTTCCTCAGTGGTAAGGTTTCAAGCTTCCTGTACTTCTGCTCCAAAATTGCCAGGCCTCTCTGGGAGCTGACACCTCATTTTCCTTCTAGTCCTAGAGAAACAAGGGAAAGTTACCAGTGGCCCCATGCCCAGAGTGACTTGGTCCCAGGCTTTTTTGGTGTGGGGAAGGCATAGAAGGAGATGGAAGTTTGGCAGGATGAGTTTCTTTGCCTTAAGGACTTAATTGATGACTGTGCTTGGCGCTGTACAAATGGAGGCTCAATCTGTGCATGGAAGGGGCCCTGGCTTGAGCTGCAGCTCAGTAACTGCACAGCATGAAGCTGCAGTTTTAATGAACTGGACTTGAGGGGTATGGTAGTTTGTTGGTCCAGGAGTTAAGGTTGTGGGGAGAGGGGGAAGGATCCAGTGGTGTGGGGGCAGAGCATCAAAGGGAGCCTGTCAGCTCCCAGCAAGGATGGCAAGGGGGCAGGAATACAGACCACGCACGTGTGATCTGGGAGATTTGGTACAATATGGTGCGATGGAGACTTGACCCCCTGGTACCAGGGCTCAGATGAGACCAGGGAAAAGGGTGGGTTCCCTTGACAAAGCTACAGGAGTGGCAGTCAGAGGCATGGGCAGATTTGGGCACAAGTGATGGAGAGCTTTGCCCACTGGGCCTCAGCTCCACCCTGCAGGCCCCAGATGTGGCCATAGCGTTCCAGGCCTTCGTATAGGGTGACAGTAGACTGCTGCAGCTGCCTTTCACTGTAGGACAGTGTCCAGCCCCTTAAGAGATGCCTCCCTGCCCTCCATAGGGCCTTATGGTTTCCCTCCCAGTCTTGCATTCTCCCATATTTAGTAGGGAACTGAACTGGGAAGTGTAGGAGACGAGCGCAGCCTGCTGCTGTGTCTCTGGGCCTTGTATCTTGGCAGCCCAGCTCCCTTTTCATACCAGATGCTGCTGGGCATTTGCCACAAGTACAGCGACATTGGCTGCCGATCTCAGTGCCTTGTTCTCGCAACCTGCTTCTTTCTCCTCTCCTGGAAAGACAGAAATCAAGCACCAGCCCAGTCTGTGCTGAGCGCAAGGAGGATGGATCTTGGGTACCCTGCAGGGTCCTTCTGCATTCGTGCTCTGGCTCCAATCCTACAGCTGCCCCTACCCAGACCCTCGTCTCTGGAATCCCTTTGACTTCACTAGGGTTTCACACAGGTGTAGGGATCTGCCCCAATAATACCTCTTGCAGTTTGGGGTAGGCTCAGTCTTCAGGCATGTACCAGCTGACAGGTCTCCAGGCTGCTGGGCAGTGGATATCAATAACAGGAGTCAGAAGGGAGGCTCTGGTTTTTCTAGAATGTGTGCAAGAGTAGAAGTCTTTGCTTTCTGGGAAAGCCAAGCAAAATACAGCCCCGGGGCTTTCCCTTTCATTGCCCAGCAGGGTGATTCCTAGAGAACAGCAGCCGGGATAGGGATGATGCTGGAGCTGTCTCTAATGGTCCTGCATTGAGCAGGGGGTTGGACTAGATGTGACCTCCTGAGGTCCCTTCAACCCTCATTTTCTGTGATTGTATCAACACTTGCCTACCCCACGGAAAAGGTGTGTGGATTGTTCCAAGCAGCAAGGGCCCCTCATTTGTTGCAGAGAGGGCAGCAGTGCAGGGGACCAGGCCTGCAGTTGTATTAATTTGGGTAATTAAATAGACGTGTAATAGTCAACATGAAGTGAAGCTTTTCCCAGATCTTAGATCTTGGGGGAGGCGGGGAGCAAAATATCAGTTGGAATTGTATAGAAATGCCTCCCCCCACTCAGCTGGAGTCCAGCAGAAAGGTTTTTAAACCACGCTGTTTCTTCAGAGAGCTGTCCAGGCTGGTGGTCACTACACCCTTCCTGACCACCCTCATGCTTTGCCTCTCCCTGGGAGTGTATGGAAGTAAGATCCCTTTTCACTTTTGGAGATGGGAAACTGAGGCACAGAGAAATGTAAAAATCCTCTCTGGCCATGGATTTAGGGGGCTGTTTTAAGAAGAGGCTAGAGAAATGATTGTCTAGGGGGGCTGTAGGGGGTTTTGCCTTCCTTTAGTGAGGGACATGGCCTCCGCCTGGGATCTCTTGAGTGTATATTAACAGCCTTGTACAGCAGCAGGAGGTTGTCTGCTCGGGCTCCCTTGCTTTCCCTGTGGCAGGTTCAGGTGTGATGCCTCGTTGTGTCAGAGAGAGAACAGTGGGATCACTATGGAATTCTGGACTGTCCCTGGAAACACAAAGACGCCAAATCTGTCTTTATGGACAAAGTGGTTTCATGGTTTAAAGTGACAC